GAGAGAAGAAATTGTTTGCATGGAGCTTACAGTTACATCCATTGGTGAGAAGTAAATTCCACTCAAACAGCTTCTTCCCATGAACCACTGTCCTGTGGAATTGACTCCCAACAGGATGTTTCTCTGATCACTACAATCTTAACCTATTCAAGACTAGGGTTAATCGTTATCTCCCTCACCTGTACACACAAACAGCCTCCTAACGTAACCCTCTACCTTAAGTGGCTCCTGGGCCTTGTAAAAGCTGATTCTCAATGTGAAAAAAAAAAAACAAAAAAAAAAAACATTTCAACTGTAAATTGATGGGACCTAGCTTTATCTAGTACTTCAAAAATAATTTTTTTAAAAAACTGTTTTGATATGATGTTATTATCTGCACTAAGCTCTAAAAGAAATACTATTATTGTCAGACATCATAATGGAAATGGTAATACAGTGTGACCCTGATATAAGAGAAACCCGGATATAAGAGAGATTTTCTCTGGTCCCAAATTAGAGCCTGTGTTAATGTATATAAAATAGACCAAACCCGGATATAAGAGAGTTCTTCTCCGGTCCCGACAACTCTCTTATATCCAGGTTACACTGTATTAACTGTTTTCTCATAAGGAAACATTTAGTATTCATTGATCAAGATAATACTACTGTCAATTGAAATTTATAAAATCTTTCTCTTAAAACAATTTTTCAAAAAAATAGTTATCTCAAGTCCAGTAACTGTGATTGCTCTTTCCAATATTGATGGGGGTTTCCTTTCTAACCTTCTCATTTTGAAGTAGTGTGAAACATCAACATCTTGATTATGCCATTGTTTTCTGGTTGAGCTATATGCGCTCATCATTTTAGTTGTGGCTGTTTTTGAAAGTCCTCATATGATGTGGTTTCTATTATTTGGTAAAGTTCTTTGATTCTGCAATGCCAGCCCATGGGCTTCAAATAAGGATGGTCCTTTTATTAATAGTGTGAAACATCAACATTTTGATTATGTCATTATTTTCTCATGGAGTTAAATAAGTCATCCATTTTATTGAATATTACTGTTGAAAGTCTTCAAGTGATATGGTTCCTTTTATTTGGTATAATTTTTTATTTGTGATTCTGTAGCATAGATTTTCAATGTTTGAAGAAGTATAGTTCTCACTAAGACATATAGACGTCATTCACTGAAAGCCATTTTTAATTATTGGTCTGAGAAAGTGGTTATATGCAGCTGACGGATTAGGCATTTTTTAACAAGTATGGTGCCAGTGTGATATCCATATGAAAGTTTTGATCTTCACAAGGCTATTTAAGAGCATGATTTGAATTTTTTAGTTAATGTTTTTGGTTTTATTGTAAGCTTGGGTGAAACTACATATCACAGTATCACAGCCTATTTTATGTTCAATTTCCTTGTCTCCTATATGTCTTCTTCTATGTGTTGTATTCCTTCAGTACATTGGGGATCATGATTCTCAACGATTTTCTGTCCTTTGTAGTACTTAATAAATTTTGTTTTTTTTTGCCTTCTCTCCCAGCGTCCTGGGTAAGACGTTAAACTACATCCGCATCCTGGATAAGACGTTAAACTACATCCACATCCTGGGTAAGATGTTAAACTACATCCACATCCTGGGTAAGATGTTAAACTACATCCAGCAGCAAGGCCTCTGATCAGGAGGTTTTGAGGAGCGTGGAACCACCTCTTAATTGCTGATGTTCCCAGGTCCACCCTGACCGGGGGTGGTAGCAACTGTTAGGGTCCCAGCTATCGGCAAATAGTTAACTATTAAGAGCAATACTTTTTTGAAAAAATTATTACCAGCAATACAATTTTGAAGGAAGTATATTACCAGAAACAGATTTTTGGCAAAACAAAATATTACCAGCAATAAAATTTTTTCTCAGCATTAATAAACTCATTGGGGTTGATATGCCATCAAACAGAATAAACCAAACCAATCTAAACCAAAGAATACATATTCTATTCATACAAATCTATCCTAAAAATGTTGTCGGCATTAAATAACCCATTGAGGTTGATATGCCGTAAAACAAAATAAACCAAACCAATCTAAACCAAAGAATACATACTCTATTCATACGAATCTATCCTAAAAATGTTGTCGGCATTAAATAACCCATTGAGGTTGATATGCAGTTAAACAAAAAAAAACAAACCAATCCTTCTCTCCCAAAACCTGCTCTGCCAATCATTTGCTCAAGCTCACTAGGTAGGTTGTGCATTGCTTTCCTCTGGCCCTCTTACCTTCAAACTATCCTGTCAGTGTCAGATTTTCCAGGCCCTCTCTCTTCATTATGTGCCCCAGAAATTTCAACTCTCTCTTTCTGATGTTACGCATAAGTGTCCTTTTTGTTGCCATTGTCTCTTGGACTTTATCGTTGGTCACATTTTTGGTCCATGGTATTCTCTTCTCCTATATAAAATTTGTTATAACTGAGGCATTTGAAGTGATTATTTAATTCCATTTCCTGATTTTTTATGATGGATTTACAATGGGTGCCATCATTTGTCATGCTTTCTATTCTAATCCCAGATCCTGTTTTTGGAAAGTTTTATCATGATGAACAACTCATACAGCTAAATAGTCAGAGAAGGTTCCCTAAGAAGCTAGTGGAGGACAGAATCTGATCTTGAACATTTCAATACAATTGTCAGTCCTTATATTGTTCTTGCTCCTTAATGATGTTTTTGTTTTCTTATATCCTTTTACACTCAGTAACCTCCTGCATCTTAGTTGCTTTGTTGCCTTACTTCAGGTGAAATGATTAAAAAAATTATATAACTTTAAGAAAATGATTTAGGGAAAGAAAATCTTTAAAACATTTCTTTTCATTTTTTTTTTTTTTTGCTGAGTTGGGGAATGTTTTTAGATCTCAATGAAAAAGAGCTTTTAGTCAACTAAAGAAATTTCTGTCAAACAAAAGAAATTTCTAAATTTTTCACTCTAGATTCATAACCGCACAAAAGAATAAATGAAGAATAAATCCAGTAAAAAGTTTTAATTTAATTTCTTGTGTGATGTTATTCCATTTTTAGCTATTACAGATTTTGGTATAATTCAACCTAAAAGGTTTGCTAAGCTTTGGATTAATAGAAACAAAAACAGATCCTCAAAGATCTTTTCCCTTTCTTCCAACCCTATTTTTCTTACCGAATCAAACAAAACCAAAATTGCAAGACAAGAATTGTTCGTCATGTCTCGGAGTGATATTATAATTGTGCCAGAAGGTTTATGAGGAGAAAACTGGAGGCAACAGAAATGTGGTTCAGCAGAACAATACTGAGAATTCTATGGAAGAAGCAAGTAAGCAACAAGGAAGTCTTAAAGAATATGGCATCAGAAAGAGCACTTAAGCTTAGAATCAGGATGAGACAGCTGAAATTCCTTGTACACATAACAACAAAGAAGGGCCCACAAAACTTAGCCTCAATATGCCCTGTTAAGATTAAGAGAGATAAGGGAAGGTAGCAAGTCACCTACCTAACAAGCTGACGACATAATGGGGGAGTGGGAGCCTTAGCAAAGAGAGAAAAACTATCCCAAAGGATAGAAATTTTTGGAGATCCATGATCACTCATGTCCTGAAGAGACATGTATAAGAATCTATCTTAAACTTTTATAAGTCTATCATTTGTCCATGCATTGGATATTCCTGCCATATCTGGACTGGTACTTCTGCTATATATCTAGAGATTCTTGACAAAATCGAAAGAAGAATCTGCAGTCCTGATCTGGCATCTCAGCTTCTGTCACTTTCCAACTTCCATAATGTAGGCTTTTCTATATATATTTTCATGGTAATTGTTTAGATAAGCTTTCCTCTTTGGTACCTCAACTTTATAAATTCAAGTGCTGTACTAGATTGGCATCTAGGTCTCATCATTTTATTATTGAAATTGTTAGATGTAACCATAAGTTCTATGCTAACAGTTTCTTTTCTTGCTTGTGGGATTCTCTTCTAGCATTTTGCTTTCCAATTAACTTTGATCTTCAAAAATTTTAATTCAGTGTCATTTGTTATCTTTTGTTTCCTTGAATTCCTTTTTTTATTCTTATCTTCTGTCTCCTTGAATCCAGTTCTTTTATTGTTCTCTCTTTTAATGTTTTTTCTTAGATTTTCGCTGTCACCCTTAGTTTTAGTGGCTTTATCGCTTTGCTTGAAGTGAAATGGCAAAAATTTTAATCCCTTCAGTATTATGGCATATTAATATAATAATTCTCTAAAATATATTTAAAAACTCATATGTGAAAACCTTCTAATAACAGTAAGAATTTAAAAAATATTAGATTAATTTTGACAGCAGACAGACTGGTATATACATTATAAATCTGATAGCACTAAGATCAGCATTTGAGATAATGAATACATGTGACAAACAATACTTTAACCTTTTTAAAATAATCTTAAATCTAATGACTCTTAAGCCAATCAATGATTTTTTCTACAAAGTGTTATAGGTTCTAGTCCTTATTTTCTTGGGGGTGTGGGAAAATAACTATTTATAACTATAGTTACTTGAAATAGCAAAATTTAACAGAATCTAGTAAAATTTATTGGTGCTCTATCAAGGGTCAACAAACTTTGTAGGAAGTGTGCCAAATTGGCAGTGTCTTTTAGCCTTGCCAGCCAAGAAAAAATCAAAGTGAAACTATGACTATATATATATATATATATATATATATATATATATATATATGATCTTCAATGTTTCTACAATAGATTTTATTGATGTTTACTTTAATAATCAATAAATCTTCATAAATAAATTTTACTTTATGTTGACTGAAGCAAAGGCAAGACATTATTACTTCATGTTAATGCATCACAATACATCAGTCATCTAAAACAGCAATGCCAGAAGTGAGTAACTAACAATACTGTGATTGAATCAGTCTCCAGCTGCTTTGGCATATAAACATTGAATGTAAGTGACTGGAATATATCATTTTCTATGTGCTGCATCTCTTCAGGGTGTAAGGCTTATGGCACATTAGGTTGAAATACTGTGTCCCATATGATCACTGAAGTTAAGCAACACCAAGCCTGATCAACACCTGGATGGATGACCACTTGGGAATACCAGGGGCTGTAAGCTTGGATGTGTGGGTGGTGTAATGGATAATAGCGCAGAATAGTTAATGGATTCAAATTCCAGTTGGGTTGGTTATATTCACTTATGCATAAATACCCTTTGGAAAGTTATGAATCTACCTCTTCTCCCCTATCTATGGGTTAATTAGTAAGACTTGTATCACTAAATCATTATCTCCAAAAATATTACAATGTAAAAATATTTTCTGGCTTTGAATAACCTGTAAATGGTTGAAAAGCTGTAGAAAATGAATCAATCTTCCAGACATAGGTGATCATGATTCTCCACAACTTCCTATTTTTTGTGGCTCTTAGCAGTTTTTCTCTTTTTGTTAAGGCTCCCTCACTGTGAGGTCATCAGGTATGTGGCTTGCTGCCTTTACCTATCTCTCTTGCCCTCAATATGCGCTGTTAGGGTTAAGTTTTCCAAGCTCTCCTTCCTCATTATGTACCTAAGGAATAAGAAGATTTTATAGATTTCTTTATTATTCAAAACTATTTGCTTTTTGTGTCTCAAAGATATTTTATTGTCCAAAATTGTGATGGAAAGAAATCTGCATAATATTTTTTTTTTACTTTTAACATTTTTTCATTTCCACTTTTTTTTCTGAACTATCTCATAACCTCAGGAAAAGTCTTGAAAATTTCATTTGGGCCACAACCATTATTTTAGGAACCACTGCATGAGGCAACAATGTAATAAGTTTTGGTTACAAGCTTCTGAAATGGTAAAGCCACTGAGCCAATGATTTCTCTTTGCAAGAACTGGAATGGAGTAGAAAAAATATTACGTTTCTTCTCTACAGAATAAAGAACACATTCAGAAAGCAAAAAAGTTAATAAAGTTTTCAGAAGTTTAGGACTTGTGAAATAAACACAATTAGTAGAAGCAGAATTATTCTTTGATTTAAAAAAAAAAATTAACAAAATTACCATGGAAACCATTTCCAGTTTAGACTAAAGTGTAACAGCTGGTTCACTTTTCAAAGAGATTTTATTGCTAGAAAAATATTTTCTAATACTTCCTGCCATTGATCTGGTTTTCAAAACAAATTTTGATTCAGCATAAAAATAAATTTCAAATCAAGATGTTGCAAATAATTCTTTCCCAAAAATGTCCAGCTCTGACTAACACAACCTTTGATGATTAAAAATAAAAGGTGTGTATCAATAAAATGCTAATAACGTTTTTGTCATCTTGAATATTCCAAGGAAGATCATTGAATATTGTAGAAAAGGTTGTTTAGTGCTACAAAAACTTTATGGTTTAATCTGTTTAATATCATGATCACTTTTGCAGGAGATCACTATTAACTGAAATTGATTCAATAATTTAAAAGTGATATAATTGATTTGAATATAGTATTTATTATATATTCTATATAATATATTATTATATATTGTATTATATATATTATGTCAGATTTTATTATGCAAGTCAATATTTTCATAATAAAATTGGTACTGAGTAAATTTCACTTCAAAATGTCACTTTTGTCTTCTCTTAATGTTTTTTTCTCAGTTTATTTCAGTTTCAGTAACTCTTTGCACCTTAGTGGCTTTATCACCTTGCTTGGGATGAAGTGATTTAAAAAAGTAATCTATTCTTATTAAAAAATATTTATAATAATTTGTTTGGGGTTGTTACTGATTGATTTGTTGATTTGTGTTTTATGGCTTATCAACCTTTTGCAGGATATTTAAAGCCAGAATTTTTGTTAGATTTAAATTGAGATAATAATAATTTACTGATGAAAGTCCTACTAATCAACCTAAAGTTGAAAGGGTGAAGATGTAGATTCATACCATTCCCAAGAGTATTTGAGTGTAAGGGAATATAAAGGACCTGACTAATTGCAGTTGTTTTATAATAAAACCAAATTAATTTTTTTATAATCTAAAATTTCATTCTATTTCTGAATAGAATAATCACCCAAAGGTTGGTAATGAATGATAATAATTAGGACAAGGGCAAGAACAACATATATAAGATTTGCCAAGTGGTGCATAGAAGAAGTAGTCAACTGCTAGAAGTGAGCCAAGTGAATTTCACAATGAATCTCAAACTGCAGACCAACATACAGTATTTACTACTGTATTTATATGAATGGGGACATACCCATTATCATCCATAGGTATGCTACAACAGACATTTTTATAACTTTATGAATAAAAATTTTTATATTTATTTCTTCATAAAATGGTAAATAATACATATTTGTACTTGGTTCATGTAGTTTTTATAATCAGGTAAATATAAAATTATTATTCTAAATAGCTACCAGTTCTCAAGAATAAAGCATTTTTTCAAAAATTAAACATTACAGTTACACGTTGTTATGTATTTCTTGTTTAGACATTGCCGTAACCTAGGGAATGTTACTGAATAGAATAATCAAATGAAAGTTGGTAATGAACAATAATAATTAGGACAAGAACAACACATATAAGATTTGCTAGTAGCGCGTAGAAGTAGTCGTCAACTGCTAAAAGTGAGTCAAGTGAATTCCATAATGAATCTCCAAATGCAGACCAACATACAGTATTTACTACTGTATTTATGTGAATAGGGACATACCCATTATTGTTCATAGATATGCTACAACAATATATATATATATATATATATATATATATATATATATATATATATTAATTAATATTATAGATAAATATATTAATATATTTATGCATACATGACATTGATTGTGCTAATAATTTTATCAACAAAACATGACATTAGATGAGTTAAAGTTTCTAACCAGTAAACCTTTTAACATCATTCTAAGTCCTTAAGGAAATCTAGAGAAGGCACTTCTCGCCATCTGGACTTTAGTAATTCTGGTATTCTATTTTATTGTAATTTAGCTCTGACCTCTTCTAAGGCCTAAGAAACCACTCATCTTGACATGTCTTTGTTGTAAAGGTATGAATTGATGGAAAAGAAGAATGGAGTTCCTTTGAACATTTAAATTTTATTTACAAATAAATTCAACAGAAAGTAGTAAGATTATATCAAATCAGTTGCTAGAGCTGCTGCAAGAAAAGTTGGCTCACTGTATTATGCAAGACAATTTTTCTCACCCAAATCCATCTTATATATAAATCTACTTTTCATCCAGGCCTTGAATATTCCTGCCACATTTGGTCTGGTGCTCCTGCTATATACTTAAAAATAACTGATAAACTCCAAAGAAGAATCTGCAATGTCATTGGTCCTGACTTTCTTACTGCCATAATGCAACTTCTCTGTGCCTTTTCTGAAAATACTTTCATGGTAATTGCACTGATGAATTTTCCTCTGGTACCTACACTCCAGGAATTTAAGTGCATTATTAGATTAGTGGCAAGGTTACATCATTTTACAGTTGAAATGTCATAATAAGTTTTATGCTAATAGTTTCTTTTCTTGCTTGTTGAACTCTCTTCTGGCTTCTTGTTTCACAGTCAAGTTTGAGCTTCAGAAATTTAAATGCAATCACAATCATTATCTTCTGCCTTCTTAATTTCCATTTTTTTTGTCCTCACTCCTTAATAAGTAACTCCATGCATCTGAGTGGCTTTGTTGCTTTGCTTGAAAGTGGAATGATTATTATATATATATATATATATATATATATATATATATATATGCATAATATTAAAATATTCTTGTTATAATAGATTACAATAAAAACATTTTACATTGCTACACAAAAACTTTCATGTTTCAGAACTTTAATCGTTCCTCATCGGGTAATGGTAGATTACTTATAACACAAATGATTTATTTGGAAAATCTGAAAACAAATCGTTATCTCCTTTGAAAGTTAAAAAGGGTTGGGGGAAAGCCTAATGTCAGAATTAAAACATATACTTGTGGGCATGTCTGGATTAACCAATTAAAAGTCAGATCTACGCTAAAATTGAAAAATGAAAAATAAATGTCAGAGAGTGGAAATTGAAATTTTCTAATGAATGTAATGGATTTTTATTAATACAACAGAATTTTTATCACTGAAAACATTATTTATAGTGAATACCCATATTTGAGTAGATGTTCCATTTATTTATTAAACAGCATATTTATTTTTGTTTACCAGCCTAAATGCTTGAGAGATCTTATTAAAGAAAAATTTATTGAAGAAAATCCTGCAAGAGAGTGTAAATTTTTCTTTAATATTTAAAGTCATAAAAAATCTGTCATATTAATAAAAAATCCATTACATTCATTAGAAAATTCTCTGTTTATGTTTAGATAGAAAACTGTGTAGATATGAAAAAACTTTGGGAGATCTATGATGAGAGAAGTTTCACTTAAAGGTACAATTTCAGCCTTGCCTGATTGATTGGTTCTCTGTAGCTCAGTTGGGTAGAGTGGACTGGATTTAATGGTAGCTCCCTTTTCCCAGAGTGACATAGGTATCCTGCCACAGGGCAAAAAATGTTCTTTAATAAGATTTCTTGAATGCCGGTAAACAGAAATAAATAAATATACTGTTTAATAAATAAATGGAGTGTCTATTTAAATCTGAGTATACACAAAAAATAACATTTAAATTGATTATATATATATATATATATATATATTTATATATGCATGTGTATTTTTGTCTGTAACTTTTTGCTATCCTAGAGTCATCTTCCTTGGACTGGCTATGACAAAAGGCAGTGTCTGTTATAAAAATATTCCAAGGTACTTATTAAGTCATCTGGCCCATTGCTTGGTAAAGGCTGCCTACATGGAAAATAATTCCCTCCTACTTTGTGAAAATGAGGTTAACCAATTTTATTCATGCTACCCATGACTGAAAGCCACCCCAACCTGCCCACTAAAACACTCTGTCAATAGGTCAAGAAATCAAGTAAAAGAACTGATTTTGTAAAAGAGCAGAGTACAATAATAATAATAATTGTAAAATATATTTAAGGACTCACATTTGAAAACCTTCTAGTAATAGGTAATGAGTTTATATTTTTTTTATCAATTTACCCCAAGCAAAGCAATAATGCCACTAAGATG